TCAAGGCAGTGGGAGAGAAAACTTGGCCTGCAAACAGCAACATGGAACAAAAGCCCTGTGATAAAGTGACAAGCTAAGGCAATGCTGAGGAGAAAGGCAGGCAGGCTGAGGACCACAGAGTAATGTAACAAGAGCATCGTATTACCCACTTCTTGAAAATACTCTCAGAAAGTCAGCGCTTGTAAATATTTCTGCTGTAAGACAGAAGTCTACCCTTCAATTAGACTGAAGGTAAACTTCATGTGAGACATACAGAAAATGTGACAAACGAAGTACCATACATATTTCAGAGAAATGCAATTGCATTTGCAGATAAAAATTTGGCAAAACCCCAAACCAGGAGTATATTTTGAAAATGTGGATTTTGGGGGCTGATAATGGACCATTCCAGTCAATGAATGTGAACAGAATTAAGTTCTATTCCTTTCCCATTTAGCTTCTTTTCTCTTCACATGGATTTATACATTTGACTGCAAAGGATCTAGAATGGTCTTAACCCAACTGTCAGTAGGATTTAGCAGCTTCTGAATGTTTCAGCAGTGGTAACAATAATTTTGGTGGTAGAGCTGAGGTTCACCTATCCTGTGTCCTGCCTACTGCAACTTTAGAGAAACACGTGAAGGTGCTTAACACTGAATTACCAATACTAGAATAATCTGACCTCCATGTTGCATTCTGACCTCTTATGTTAGCTTCATCGCTGCAAGTTTATCTCTTAAAAATATTTTTCAGCCATAAATAACAATTTAAGATCATCTTCACATCTATATAAAACCAGAATGATTTTTCATAGGATTTATCAGATTTTTGGATATTTTTTTTCCATCTACACTCTGTTAACGTGTTCACTTCTAACACACCCATATTAGATCTTAAGTTCGTGTGTGTGTGCATATAAATTCACCTTTATTACTAAATGTTTTTTGTTCTAAATATTTTTTTCCTTCCAGTGACACCTTCAACACTGTTTTTGTTTGCTTTTTTTTTTTTAAAAAAATCTCAATTTCAGTTCAAGCATTAACACAGCTCTCCCATTCCTCTGACATTTTCCTACATACAGTGTATCACAAAAGTTACCTAGATACTGGTGAAATGCTGGACTCAATTCCATAATAATTTTTATTTCAAATCAGAAGATGGCCTTAAATGACTCCTTATTTAAAACATAATACTGAAACAGGGGTAATAACCTAGCTGTAAGATAATGGTATCAATTAGCTAAGCAAGGTAGCAAATGTTTCAAGCCAGTGAACGATTGCTGGACTGCACCGTGATATTAAATTAAAAGCTTGTTTGATGCCATTGCTTTATCTCCTTTGACTTTTCAGAGTTTAATTGTACTGGCTAACTCCCACTGAGGAAGGTACTGTCTATACCGATATACATGTATGCACCCATAAATATATGTGTGTATGTATAAACCTATATACACACATGTATGTATGTATATATGTGTTGATGTACGTATATGTACACATAAATAAAATACAGAATGCATAGGATTTCCCTATGAAAACACAACTCAGATTTCAGCTGTGGGTCTATCACCTATACTGTTAACATAAATGAGAACTTATAAGGTGCCACGACCTACTCCTGTTTGTTACAATGCAAAACATAGGTGCAATTTTACATGGAAACAGAGAACGGACACAGGCACAACTTTCCATGAAAAATGGCTGTCCCCCTCCTATGGGGACAGGCTGAGAGGGTTGGGCTTGTTCAGCCTGGAGAAGAGAAGGCTCTGGGGAGACCTTATAGCACCTTCCAGTACCTGAAGGGGCTACAAGGAAGCTGAGGGGGTGGCTTTGGTGTTGAGAGAAAAAAAAAGCCGTAGTGGGTTTAAATTGAAAGTGGGGAAGTTTAGATTGGATCGCAGGAAGAAATTCTTCCCGGAGAGGGTAGTGAGGCACTGGGACAGGTTGCCCAGAGAAGCTGTGAATGCCCCATCCCTGGATGTCTTCAAGGCCAGGCTGGATGAGGCTTGGAGCAACCTGGTCTAGTGGAAGGTGTCCCTGCCTATGGCAGGGGGGTTGGAACTAGATGGTCTTTAAGGTCCCTTCCAACCTAAACTATTATAGGATTCTAGGCAAACAGAAATTGGACAGACACATTAAAACATTAAAAAAATTTGTTTTCACATTTCATGGCTGCTTCTGAGATGAAATGCCCCAAAACAGCTGGGTGAAAACAGTACATGAGGACTGGCATTCTCCCCTATGTAGTGGCAAAAGCAGCTGCCCAAAGCAGAGCCTTCCAGTGATCCAGCTCCTGTTTGTGGGGGCTCCTTCCCCCTGCCCTGGCTACTGCTCTCTCTCCAAATGCAAATGAGTTGCATTCCTGGAAACTCACTAGTCAGGAGTAAATCAGGCCATTATACACAGGGCCTTTTAAAACATGTCCCAGAGATAAATCATGGCAAAACCATTTTCTAGAAGACACAAGGTGAAAACTAGCAGGGAAACAAAACTATATTCTCAAATAAGCTTCACAAAACAATCTCATTTCTGAAGAGAAAGAGTTGACTCTTTACTGCCTGGTCTGGAAGAGAGCTCCCTTCAGTAGCTACTGAAATGCATCAAAGCTTGAGCTCTCTAACTAGAATATTAAACATATCCATTGATCAAAACCAACCTTCACTTAAAAGAGGACAAATACATTAATATTTATAAGGAAATAAAATGGGGGTCTGGGTTCAAATACTGAATTAAAAGAAAATTTTTAGATTAGCAATGAATAATCATTTTCAATAAATTAAATTTATTTAAAATATTTTACCGGCATTAATCAGGTCTGGATCTACTTCATTTTCAAGTGGATAAGGACCCTGACAACAACACAGACATATGTCAGCTTTATATTAAAATACCTTTGAGACTGCTTTATTATTTCTAATGCTTATTACTCAAAACAGATCATCACAGACATGCATTCTTTTCATCTTTAGCAGAACAACATCCCTGATGATATAAGCCATAATTTACATCCACTAACATATCAGGACTAATGCACGTATTGTTAGAGTCTGTTAGAATTACTAAATAACCACACAGTGGGGGTTTTGTTTGGTTTGCTTTTTTGCTTTTTAAGCGACAGACATTTTTCAGAAAAATATATGTAGGTGCAACTTCATGAAGCCATAGGACAGTGAAAGCAATACTCACTTTTAAGTTTTATTTAAAGTTAGGCTCAATAAGGCTTACAAGCCTTGGTCTTACAAACTACTGAAGGTTCTAACTCCTTACAACAAAACACTTACTGCAGAACATATGCAGCAAAGTAGTACTATAATCCTGAAACAAGCATTGCCTTTAAAAATTCCCAGTCAGTCTTTTATAATCATGCAATATGACATATATCTGAATGTGATTTTTGGTAAAATTATAATCAAGTCAGGAGAGGGCAGGGAATAAACCCCAGCCACTGCAAGGTTAAGTACATTGCAATACGTGATCAAGATACACTCTTACCAAACCCAGGACTCCATTTTCACTCTGTAAGTGAACAGTTATATCTGGACTGATGAAGTTACTGGCCAACAGTGGGATTCCAATACCCAGATTAGCTGAAGGGAACCCGTTAAGGCAGAAAGAAGAACACACTTACTGCAATCTAATAAATTAAAAAAAGTTATCATTGTATTATGATTAGATTAGAACTGTTCTCTTCATAAACAAGTTCATTTTTAGATAGATGCCTCACATTTGTGATGAATTATTTTGCCATTTGGACTATCTAATTGCATTCTGTCAAAGGCTTTATATAATAAAAAACACAGTGCAAGTAAGCTTCATTTCCAATGTATGCAACTTCTCCAAGAAATTCTTGTAAAACATTCAACTCCGCATATGCCTGGATAAAAAGTCCAGGCACCCTATGTCTTAACACCCCATTTATTTCAAGAGGGTGTTAATAAAATAACAGAATCCCAGGCTCTGGGAAAGACAATGACCATGGCAATTAACCTGTCTTCAACAAAACAGCTGCGGTGGTTATCCTGGTGAGGCATTAGTTTAACCTACTGCACTGCTGAAGGATACCATACATGCCATCTTCAAACTCTAAAGCAGCCCGTCTGATGATCCTCTCCCTCACATTGTCTCCTTGTTTCTCTTTGGCTTTTGAGTCTTCAGGTTTACGGATTGATAAGCGCTGCACAAGAAGAAGTAATCACAAGTAAAGATCAGAATCCAGATTCTTGCTTCTCAAGACGCAAAACCCTGATTTGTGATTGCACTGAGATACTTTGTCTAAGAACAATGTTATTTATCTATTTGATACAAAAAATGACCTTTTATTCTATCAGTTCAACCTTCTCGAAGCCAATGGAGTCATCAAATATCCCCAGTGATAGCCTAGAGCAAAATGTTAGTCCTTTGTCTGTACTGCCAAGGCTGACAGAGTACGTGATACACAGACAACTGGTGAAGAAGGCACCAAGCATTAGTGCAAACTAGCGAGCCTGCGATTCATTACCCCAGTGATACCTAAATAGATTTGTGAAATGTCAGCCTAAAATACAAATACTGCTCTCTTTCTGCATTCATTCAATTCAGTGGTGCTATTTTAGATTTATATGTACGAGACAGACAAATGCCAGTCATCTAAAGATGCTGGGAGCTAAGCAACTGCGTTTTCAAACATAAATCTGTATAATCTTGCATAAATCTGCACCAAGTTGCTTCCTGAGACTTCCTGGCCTTAAGCTGATGTTTTCTAAACCACATGTAGGTGAAAATGCACTGATGTTCAAGAAGCTTGCAAGACCTTTTTTGTAAATTATTGTTTACATAGATTATGTTCTTTGTGCAGCTCTCCCATGCGTATCAAGTCCTGCACCCCTACACGTCTTCATATCCTCTCCTACTTCAGGCCATAATGAACACATCAGGCAAAATTATCATCTGTTCCTTTTCATCAAACAAAAGAATTTTTGGACTGTCTTTTTTCCCCCCCATGTTGGGAGTCACTTTGCTCTTAGGCAGTCAGAAGCAGTATTAATCTCAGCAACTTTCTTTTTGTACCTTGGCTATTTTCCCCAAAATTGCTTCACTTGTGAGTTACAGAAAAAGCAAGAAAATCACAGTTTCTCTGCAGCAAAGAGTAGGTTGGATAGAAAGAATTACTTGCACTAGAGGGACCACATCTGAGACAAATTAGGCAGAAACTGCTATTTAAAGCCAGTAAGAATTACAAGAAAGTAGCTTCTCTTTATTCTCTGTATTCCTCATCCCTCTCCTCTTACCTCTAATCATTCTCAACACTTTCATATGTACAGCCACATGCTTCATATATAATGTTTTATGGAAGAGTAGATAAATCTGCCATTTCATTCCTACACTTCTATTAATGAGAGGTGCAACTGTCAGAACTACAAAATTACACTAAGATAATTAATCTCTGTTACAACTTTGCTGTGCAGTTTATAGTAGCTTTTTTTTCCCCACTCTCAATTCCTGTTTTTCTTAAGCACATAGGGAAGGGGGCAGTTGACTAGGTGGCTGTATTCATTCACACAGCCAAGTCAAAGAAAGTTAGTTGTTGGTATAAAGGTCTTCCTGGACAAAGAGTCACCTCTTTATCCACTGCTGAACTGCTGTAAGAACATCTGTTTAATAAATGCAAAGTACACTTCTCTCATGAAAAGAAGAGCTTTTCTGTGAGATATTGCATCCATTCCAAAGAATCAAACAGACGATTATCTGCAGTCTAATATAATGTGCTGAGTGAAAGAAAAAAGAAAAAAAAAAGGTTTGACACACCTGTTTCCAGTCAAATACTCAACAACAGGTAATATGCTTTTGCAGAATGAATAGATGGAAGGAAAAAAAGGCTTTTTAACCTTAACATTCATAAAAGAGTTTACTCAGAGAAAAGGCTTTGTATGACTTTCTAAGACTTTTTAACTTGATTTAAATAATAGAAGTTTAATTATTACAATTCCTTTCTGCACTTTTTTTTTTCCCCAACTTATTTTTTTCCTTGTGCGTATATCTCCCTCTCCACCAGCTATTCTGATGACATTTTGGATAATTCCCACCTCCAGATTATGAAGACACAGGAGTAATACAGAATTTTCAACTGCACTTTAAGAGCATTATCGCATCACCAAAATGAACACAGGGACATAGCATGAGTGAGGCAAAACCACAGAAGCAAAAAAACAATTAGATAATCATAATTTTCTCGGATGTTTTCAGTGTCAGAATATTATTTTTTCAATTCTTAATAGCTACTGACATATTTTACTCAGACCAGAAATGCCACTGGCTAAGAAGGTGCCTGTCAAAAAAAAGGAAAGAAAGGTTCCAGGAGATCTGCAATGTAATGTAATTCAATACACGGCACAAAAAGGGCTCAGGCTGGCCCTATGTGCCTATGTCAAAAGCTCTCCAGCAGAAAAGAATCTAATTGTCAAAGTAAGTTCTTAGTCTACATGTTCCTGCTGTTGTGTCTACAGGTGACCTGGGAGAAGGAGGAAGAATGAAATAGCATTTCCCATAAAATTTTCCACTGCATTAAAGTAATCCAGGACTACAGGCAGTTGCTCTAAATGATTAAGGGACTGAACCAGAGGTTGAGGTATAAGAAACAAGGGTCAATTCTCAGGCCTCCACCTAACTACTAAGTACTACCTGAGCTCCAGTACTCAGTAAAACTTGACAGGTCTTTCTCACACTATCTTCCCAGTGCTAGGACTTGGTGGCTAGAGCAAAAACCCTGTAAATTCTAAATTACACCCCAAGCTGAAATATGTTATGACCAAGAAGCCCAGCTACTTACTTCAATTCTCTTCTCAAACTTCTCTCCTTGTATCAGACGATCAACATAGATTTTGGGAACATGAATGTCCTCTGGGGCAAATGCTCCTATATCAACAATTTCTTCCACCTATAAAGAGAAGAAAGTAAGTGCAAAGTGTAGAAAAATGTATGCGGTGAGAGATTTCATTAGCAACTAAGTTTCACATATTAAGTATATAGTGGATCACATGAAGAAAACTAAGGAAAGGGACAATATAGATATACTCTTTAAAATAGGCTATTTTAGATGATTCTCATTCAAAGGATTTTTCTATATACAAATGGAAAGCAGTTAATGTTTTAACAGCCCAACTGACTACCTTGAAGAAATATACCATGTACAGTTACATCAGATTTGTTTGTACCTACAAATAATTTCCACCCAAACAGAAGGAAAGAATATGCTGATAACAAATGTCAGAGTACAAAGAAGTACCGAATTTCAAGGACAAAAACAGAGTCTGGCTTGAAGTTTCTGCACAGTTTGCTCCAAAACAAAACTGAAAACATCTGAACCGTAGTAACTGATGCAAGAAAGATGTGAAGATTTGGAAGTGTCTACACTTCTAGATCTAGTGAAACAGAAATTCGGCATAGAACGGCACTGATTCACACACGGTACATTTGAAACGTCACCTATATGGAATACGACAGACAACAGGGTTTTCCTTCCTGCTGTGTCTGACTATAGGGTGGTCGTTGGAGACCCTGCTATGGCCAGATGCCTGCTGCACAGATCCTCAGCCACGTCTGGTGCTCTCCCTGACAAATCTCGGGTGCAGGTAGCACATCGCACCCTGCCACAAAACAGACACTACTGTTAGGGCTGTACCTGCATCTGACCACAGAGAAAAAGTCTATCGTTAAAGAAACAGGTCAAAGATAACATCTGAAACAATCTCCTCAAAAAGAAATTACATAAGTTTCCAGACTGCTTTATCATGAGGAACTAGATGAACTTTCAGGAATGTCCAAAGTCTAAGAACCTCAAAACAAGACCCACAGTATGCCCTATCAGTAGGGGTACATCACTTAGTAGCCATCACAGTGCAGCAACATTAACGAGCTTGAAATTCAATTTGACATCCCACTGTTACTGCACAATGTGATCAATAATAAAATCTATAGTACATCTGATAGACAATTACCTCCCTACTGTGCCTTGCAGTGTGACAATAAACAAACAAACCCACCCTAAAAGCAGCAGAGGGAGAGGAAAAATTAACAAATTAAAGACCACAAGATCAGTTTTAGATGATTCCTAAAAACTGCCCTGGGATAAACAGACAGGAAGAAACAAATTGTGAAGTGAGTAAGGCAAGGGTGGTAAGGAAGAGGCATTAATAGCCACTGCAACACCAGCTTCAGTGTTCATGGGGAGCAGAATCACACATCCAGAAAGTCCCTATCCACAAGAAAAGGAGAGACAATCAAACCAGTATTTTAAAAATACAGACGGCTATATTCACAAAAAAAAGTGCAATCATATCCATGCCCTACTTCCCTTGAAGTTTATTATTTTATACACGAACTTTAAAATTAATACAGAGACCAAGTCAAACACAGGGTAGGATGGAAAAGTCCTGAAGTCCTGAAGCACACAGCACACTGTTCTCTCGGTGTAGTGACTACTACCAGAACACACTCAAAAGGGAGGAGAAGCAACAGACAGGACCTTTTAATGAAGCCATATGCAAGCAGATGATCTGCTACCAGCAGAATTCCCAGATTCACCTTTTCTAATTAAATTTGTCTTCACTTATCAGGTGGAAAATTAGGCCTGGGGAATACTAATTGCTACAGATTTGAACTTTCTCATAAAAGAACAATATTTATTTGCTGCAGTAGCTGAGATTATAAAACCAGAATGTTTGCTGGCACAATTCAACCAGTTTCAACAGAAGTATGCTGTCAGAAAAGTTTACACACTGTATCTCTCCCCTCACATTATAAATAATTTACTCAAACAATAAAATGTTAGATTGTGTTATTAGTCACCTCATTCTCTTAATTGGGGGTATTTTGTCTCTTTGGAAACAGCAGTCAGTATGACAGCTTTTCCTCACAAGAACCATCAACATTATAATTTATTATTTCTGTATATTAACCTAAACGAACATAACACACAAACTGTGTTTTGTCCTAGGGATTTCAAATTAGTCTACGGCTTCCTGCAGCCTGGAACACCTTTGTGTTCACAGGCAGCCCCCCACTATTCTTACTGGTGTTTTGCAATCTCCAGGTTCTACCATTATGTGAAATAAATAAGCAGCAAATATAATCGAAATTAAGCATGTTAAAACATCCATATAGCAATAAAATGGAATTTTGAAAAGGGATTAAAAATTTGCATGTAATGTCTGCTAGAATACATATTATGCAGTTCTGCAAGTGAAATTAATCAGCGTGTTTATATGAAAAAGAACGATTTCATGCAGGGGAAGTACAGATGTCATCTGACTGCTCCAAGTCTCTCTCCCAGCTCCGCTCTCAGAGAGCTAGATGATAGTTCAGCTCAGACAGTGTAGACGGGCTGCCAGCAGCCTCCATCAGTATTTCCTGCACTGCTACCACAGATGAAGTTGTGCAACGAAAAAAACAGGAAATCTGTTGTCTCTGGGAATAAGCAACTTAATTTTCTGTCACCACTGCAAGATATAATCCAAGCATCTTTCCAGATTAGAATGATAATGCAAAAATAAATAGTTCCATAGCTGGGCATATTCACTTCCCTTTCAGGTTTCCTCTATGAGTCTTTACTGTAACACATCCACAGCCTAAGCCTCAATCAGACATGCAGGAGGGCATTCATATAAATAATGAAAAGAATGTGTGTGTGTTCTTCCTGTTCTGCTCTCCATCTCATCTATCCTTCTGTTCTTTCTTCTCTCTAGTTACCTTGCCTCAAGCTTTACTCTGTCATATACAGAAGAATCCCTGTAAACATCAAAAATCATTATATGGCAGCCCTCCCAAGAGAAACAAAGTCTGACAAAAGCATAGAAGGAACTCATCAGGACAGGTCATCTCCTGTACTTTTATTAATTAGCAAATCAAAATTCTCTAACCATTTAGATTGCCTTGATCACATGTTCATTTTAAATCTTAACTTCATCAATGTGCTAGAAGATCAAAAATGTTTACATCTTTCTTACACAGGTAACACTAAAGAGTAACTTCAAGAGACCATATGGGCCTGGTTCCCTCTTCTGGGAAGGCTCTGATGCGTGATTCAAAAATGCTTTAATTGTTTCATGAAGGTCACAGTATGTGTTTCACGGTACTGGTTTTCTTCCTGGGTATAAATGTTCTTGCAAATCTTGTCTGATTGCTGACAATGGGAGCAGAATGAATAAATTCAATCATTTCTGAATACTGGTTTCTCTGCAAGTACACCCAGAACATAAAAGCTGTTCTCTGCTATGATTCACAGGAGCCTTCTGCCATTCCTTTTGGCATCAGCACTCAAAGAATCAGTGGTCATTTGTTTCACAATATCACTTCCTTCTGTAATTTACATCTACTTTCCTCTTTTTAAAGAAGTTTGGTTTATTTTTGCTTATGGAAATTCAGCTACTCTCCTACAGTTTTATCTCAGAATTTCTGAAGTCTTCCAGAGAGAGAAAGGGAACCGTAAAGGTTATAGGCCTCCAGTAAGACAGAGAGAGAACTCCAGTTCTTGGCCAAAACTTTGCAAGGATATTATAATGACACAACTACTTGTGCCAAATCATGTGCAGTTTAAGGACATCCTCAGTCAGATATTGGACACAGACCACCTTGCTTCATAGCTTCTGATGGGCCATGAACTTGTCTTAATAAGTCTTCTTGGAATCCAAAAGACTATCATTGCATTTCTACAATTTAACTAGTATGAAAATAATTTCTCATTATCTCTTGTCATTTCACTGTATGCTTCCTTCCCTTTGCAATACAGGAATAGCACACAGCTGTTCTTCGTTTGCCTGTTTCATACCAATAAAGATCCTGTGTGCCTTTATATTTTCTCCTCTACTCTAGTAGACTGTTATCCTCTGTGAACACCACAGATAAAAACAGTGAGGTGTGTTTCCAGTATGTCGTATCTGGTGATTAGGGAAGCAAAGCTGACATAAATCTAGGTTTGTCTCCAGGTTTTTCATCATGTGGCTACAGATCCTCATAAATTAGGAGCCCCTGCTTGCTTATACTCATTTCACCTTTGTTTTCTCTGTTCTAAATCTCTTCAATTACCTCCACCTCTCCTTGCCTCAGGCTTAATCTCTTCTTTCACACTTCCTTGCACCTGCTGCCTGTTTCTTCCAACTGCCCCTTCGCGTCCCACCTGTTTAACCTCTTCCTCCATGCTGTACTGCTCACAGCAAAGAAGAAAACAGACTGCACTAAATTACCTGCTCTAGGTACTCAACATGTAGCAGTTCTGGGCTGACAACCCCAAAGAAAAGACGAAGAACACTTGATTATCTGCAAAAGCTATCTATATGTAAAGCTGTTTGCATGCATGAAAATATGAAAAATTTAAACACTAGGCTCCAAAAAAGTTCTACCATACACAGAAACACACTTCTTAGGAAAATTTTAAGCATAGCCAGGATGCATGATATTCCTAAATTTCAAGAACATGTTGAGTCAGAAGATACTGAAATTTCTCCAAGGAATAATCCTAAGAAAATATTCTCAAAACAATGTATTTTCAGCTTTTGTTTGTTAGTTTTTCTTATAACTGGGCAGTTTTACCCAAAATAAAAACTCAGGCAAACTGACTTAAATCACAATAGAAGTGATTTTGTGGTAGTACTACAGTACTAGTTAAGTAGCTACTTCAACAACAAATGCCTGCTATCAACCATGCCTATGAACACGTACTGTAAAAATGTATGCTCTAAGTATAAACTGAAACCTGCAGGTTTTTCCTCAAGATGTTTGCAAAAGCAAAGACTGCTAGCTATTACTGGCTACTGAAGTCACTCCATTAAACTGACAGAAGTGCTTGTTCAGCAGTTTGCACGAGTAGGTCTATGTAATTCTGTATGCACCAAAAGTGAAAGTGATAGATGAGCTCTTTTCTTGGTTCCTTAAATTCATTCT